AAGCAAGAAACAAAACCTGAAGTACAAAACTGAAAGAAAACAAAACAATATTCAACTGAAAAACAAGGAGAAATTTTAATAATAAAAACAAAAGCATGCTGTTTGATTGGGTTCAATTAAGTCCAGACCAGTGGCCACAAGAAAGTGGTAAATAATAACAAATTAAAATGGGTGATTAAAACCTTGCAATTCTTTACACTACTCATCAAAAGAGGTCTTGTGACATATTTACAGTGCTAAGACACTCAAAATATTTCTAGTATTGATAATATGATGCTGACCCATGTATTTTTTCCCCCCAAACACTGAAATCCTTGCCAAATTACTTTTCTTTGTATTTTTATCTCTTCTACTTCATTTATGAGACCATTTGCAATACAAAAATAACGGCACATATAGATGAACTTAAAAAAGTAAAAAATACAAATAAAAATATATAATATTTTCCAAAGGAAAAAGTCAGATACATACATCTTAGCAACATTTTTAAAGTTGTGTGATATTTTTCCAAACATGTACAATAATATAAGAATATCCACATATATGTTAACAATATGTAAAACATTCTTCCACCAACCCAACTCTCCATAATACTTCAGGGAAGTGTGCAAGTACCAATGGGATCTGGGAAATTAATACAATTTCTTTTTAAAATAGAAACAAGTAAAACACTAACGGTCCCAGGTTAAGTTAAGGCCCCCTGCTTTCAAAGAAAATTCAATTTCCAAGCAGCATTGATAATTGGATGCATTTAAAAACAAAATGAAACAAAAACAACACTCCAAATCTCTTTTAAAATACAAACTTCACTTGTTCTGTAGAGTATCTTTTTCAGAAATGATGGTGGCAGGCACTTGTTTCTAACTGCATTTAATGAATCCAACCACCAAGTAAAATACTTTAATAACAGAGGGTGCAAGAAAACCTTCATTTGTACATTACAGCAACATTGACACCCATAAAAACAAATGGCAGAAAAGAAAAAAAAAATCAGCGTTAGTTTTAATTCCAGTCACTGAAACAGAATCTTTACAATGACTACAAATCAGACTTTCTTTTGACCACTATCTTTGCAGATGTGTTTTGTGTGAGTCTTTAGTGTGAAAATTTAGGAATCTCATTAGGTAAAATACAGAGATTTAAAAATGTAATATAAGATGGTCAAGAAGCAGAGATCAGGAAATTTGAAGGGAAGGGGTCAACCCCTGCATGCCTTGAACCTTTCCATCACTTCCAATAAATAGGCTGACAATATCTCTGCAGTTCTTACTGAAGTAGCCCCGATTTAAGCAAAACCCCACTGCTGAAGGTGGTAATATCCCCCTCATTACAAAGTGTAACACCTGGGTGCTTCCTCCTGCGTGTCTCAAAGAGCTTTGCAAGGAGAGGGCTCATCCCTGTCCCCTGCCCTTGCTGGGGCTGGGGAGGCACAGCCAGGGGAGGAGCCCTGCACGGCTGAGCCGGGATTGCCATCCCAGTTCTGGGGCAGTCAGTGGGACACCTCCCTCCACACCCCACGGGGATCCAGGATCCCAGCCACGTATCCTGGCACAGCCCCAGCCCTGCAAACACCACCCTCCACCAAAGGCCTGCTGATCTCACTTGGGGTTGCACACGCACCCCGTCCATGGGTGCGACGCTCACTGGGGCCAAAGCTGACTGTCCACACCATACATCAACCTTAAGAATTATTCCTTTTCCAACTCCATACTTTACACATGTGCAGATAAATGGATCTGATTGTTCTGAAACGCTTTCATACTACTTACACCATAGACTGAAAGAATATACAAACAGCTGGATGAAGAGTATCATTCTGCTTTGCTACACTATCAGAATATGACATCACGACCAGCAATAAATAAAAATAGAAATCAAAAATACATTGTATCATTGTTCTGTGATTTAACATCTCATGCTTTACCTCAGGAAAAAATAAAGTTTTCCAAAGCATCCTGAAAGAAAGCTTTCCCACAGTTAGTCCATGAATATGAAGACAAAGACCACGTATGTCAGACATATTCCATACAGTGCTTAAAAGATTTGCGGCCTCTGTAGCAGGACTTCTGCACAATGTGGCTTTTATGCACTGGAGTAACAGGTAATTACAAAACTTCATATGAAACAAATACTGAAAACTCTCAAAGAAACAAGGATTAATCATACCTGAAAAGTCAGGGATATAGAAACTGTGTAGACTAATACCACTACACATTTCTACAACTGAAAAGACTGGTAGAGGAACTACTGTTCCTGTCACAAACTAAACAAAACAAATCATATCTATCTGGAGGAATGCCACTAAAAGATACAACAACACACTGGCAGTTCAAACTGTAGCTTTGCCATCAAAAGGAAAAAGATATACTAGCACCAGAAATAGTTGCTTCTTGAACAAAACAAACACGTTGCAAGTCTTCACAGGGTGCTTTTCTTGATGAAATATTGAAGCAAATTCTTTTTTTTTTCTTGTACTGACCATGCAACTTTTCTAGATATTTTTAAGTTTCATTTCAATTCAATCTGAGATGCAAGTATTAATGCCAAATCTATGTATGTAGTTTAACCATTCAAATGAAACTGTTTATCTACTGCTCACTCATGGTTATTTAAAAGGAATGAACATTCCATGATACTGAACAACACAAAGGCTAAAAAAGCCAAGTAAGATTATTTGAAAAGTATTCCTGCCTGCTGGAAATTTAAGAAAGAAATTAATTTACAAGACAGAAAAGAAAGCAAATGAAGGTGCTGAAGTATTTCTTCAGTAGGGTCTCAGTGTCAGGAAGTTAAAGGAGAATTGAGCTTTGACTAACATTTAACAGTAGCATCTATAATGATTTCCTGAATGACAAAACCATGGGCCAAAGCTCTGCTAGATTTATTGGTGCATATAGAAATGGATGGTAGGAGGGCAGTTAAAAAATATAAGTACACAAATTTAAAAAAAAAGATAAAGAAAGTGCTAATTATTTATCAGCATTATTTATCTTGTTGCTATTTCTTAAATGAGTTGTGTTTGTGGACAGTCTCAACGTGGAGTTGCTAAATCATCTAGCCAGATAATAAACATCCTACTTGATTTTGCATGTAAATACTCTGAAGGATCTTTAAAAAATATTTCATCTTACTGTATTGATTGCCAGTATTCGATATCTTAACAAACATTCAGCTTCTGGTCTCCACATGTACCATCCACCCAGCCAAATGTGCCGAGTCAGGACACGGCATGAGCGACTCTTTTCTGGTGAATTTACTCCTCACCCAGCCTGCTGGTTCTTTGAGACACTGCTGCCTCAACAAGCAGACTGAAAGGGGCAACTCAGAGGCTCACAGGGTGCTGCTCCTGTCCTCCTTCTGAAAGGCCCTCAGTGGTGTTATTGCTGTAACTCTCTGGTAAGGTTTTATATTCTGTCTGTGCCTCCTGAAGGTTCCCACTGTTGTAATCATCACTGTTCTAACAGGTTGATACTTGCATCTCTGAAAATTTAGGGAAAGCAAAACATATTTCCTTATTTCTGTGAACACTTATTTCTTCCTATTGGAAAGAGGGGATTGAGCCGTAAAAATACACATTATTCAGTGTATAGTGCGAGATTTTTGTTTTTATTAGTAAGATAATACTAACTGGAGGCCACTAAATTGACTTTTTGCTGTAAAAATCTGTGTTTTCCTCAATGAAAAGCTGGGTTTGACTCCAATATACCAAAATGACAATAAAGATTCATCAAAGAGAAATATTCAATTATAGTGGCATTTCCATTGATTTGAGATTGTGAAGCAATACAAAAAGAAGATGTGACCCCATCTTCACATGATTTAGAAATGATGGAGCCAGGAAAAATGTGCGTTCCAAGAAGGGCATAAGGTGCCCTCATATGAATGGAGACAAGCTGTCTTCTTCAACTTAGTTTTGGTCTACATATGAAAGACAACTCCTCAAAAAAAAAAACCCTCCTAAAAATGGGATGATTCTGCTATATACATTAGGGACAGAAGTGATATAAAAAGAATTTCCATCTGCCAAATATGGCACCATTTCTCATAAATTATACTCTCAAACTAACTTCAGTGCACCATATGAAGACTCAAAATTGTAAAAAATACCTCGTGGCAAAACTACAAATGTGCACAAATTACGTATTTCTAGCAATAAAAAAAAAAGTGGAGAAGGAAATGTTTCTCTAGAAAGCCATCTGAACAGAAAGGGAGAAAAATCAACACTTTTAACAGTGGAGCATGGTGACAAGCATGCAGTGATAATCACACAGAACTGTTTCTCTCCAATGGTTTTTGAGCAATAATGTCCACTAAAATCACCGTAACAACATAAAAGGAGCAAGATGAATACATCATTCTGTGAAACATAAAAATAAACTCTTTCTTTTCTAGACTTAAAGGCTTCAAAGACTCCGGAATAAAAACTGTTAATACTGAAACAAGACGAATATGTGGCTTGAAAGTATTTTCTTCAATGCCGTCATCACAAATGTTGAATAGATTATTGAAATGCATTCTTTATGGCAACAGAAACAGGAAAAGGAAACAAAACCAAGCATTGCTTCCAAATTCCTGTAGAGAAGTTCAGCCAGTTATGTGTAATTTAAAGTGAATAACCTGAAAACCACACCATGATACATACACCTCTGATCAGTTCCATTGTTATCCTCCTCTGGAGGATGATCGGATTCATCCCCACCTCAAGAGTGCTTTCTCCTCCAGCAGTCCCAAAACACAACATGCAGAGTGCCTACACTCTGTCCGTCCTCGAGTGAGGTTGAGAAGCATCTGGTCTCAGGCGGTGTCTGCCATCAAATGATCCCTGCAGCACCTCTGTAACCTTTTCAAACAACCCACAGACAAGTCTGGTTTCTTCAAACTTCTGTCCCCCCTGACGAAGGACTCAACAGGGCCTATCGTGAATGTCTTCACGGCTGTGAGCAGTGCAAGGCAAACCGACGCTGATCAACAGGCGGGGCCCTCTCTGATCCAAGGGGCCAAGTATCCCGCAAGAATGGAAGCCATCCACCTGCAGCTGGAATGCTATTCCCCAAAAATTCAAGGCCTCTCTCTATGCTCCTCTGGTTTATCTCTTTTTAGCAATGAGCCATGGTGTGACTCCCTTGAGATGACAAAAGGAAATGACTCAGAAGCTGGAATCAAAGGCCACTGTCAGCAGCCACTCATGATCACACAGCAGGCAGGTCTGGCACACACACTCATGCTTTTAGTGCACACGAGCAGATGTGGTGTCATGGATCACTGACGTGCTTAAGATGGACATGGAAGCCAAGTCAGTAAACTCCAACAGCAGCGGGTACAGTACATTTCATAGCATTTTGCTCTTATTTGGTCACAATTTCTTGTAAACTAGTTCATGGCACTCATTGTCCATGCACATCCACAAGCCAAAATACAGGAATTTACAGAAATATTAATTTCTATTATTGATCATTGTTTAGAGATCTCTCCCATTAGAGAGACAATTTTTGCAGGTTTATCCTGCAGTTTTTGTATCATCTAACTGCAGATGTAGGTGAAAAACAGATGTATGTATGGACTATTGCAAACAAGTAGAAGCAGCTACATGTAAACATATCTCAGACTTGTAAAATCAAATTTTCAGTTCTCATCTATAAATAAAAAAGTGGAGCACTATATACACAACTTCATGCTTGTAAGGTTAGATTAATCACTGCAGAGACAAAAAGAGATACAGATTAATCAAATTAGTAAGATATTTCAGACATCTATTACAAATACATAGATATGGCAGAGTTACAAATATGGATAGTTACTTTCTCAGCACCAACTATTCTTCAGAGATAAATGCAACCAGGATTTCACTTATGCTTCATCTTTTCTGATATATTATATGCCAGTATCCCTCCAACTACATTATTCTGAATGCTGTGTTTTTAAATCAAGCACTTTCTAGGTTAAATCTTACTAAAATAATGTCACCAGTTAATATTGCCATAAAACACAAAACCCAAAACAGGAGGATTTACTGAATAGAGAAGAAAGGCAAAGAAAAGGTCAGGATACACTGTCTTTCTCAGTATCCCAGAAAGCCAATATAATAATAGATCAACAGATAGATTTGATAAAAATGCCACATCCATGAGCTTTTATAATGAATAGGAAGCACTGATCATCTGCAGAAACCAAAGGATGTGTGAGTCTTCATGTGAAAAAAGAAAAGTCTTGGACTTTTCATGAAAGGAATGCCAACTATTTCTACAGTACTGCCTTGATGAATTATCCTACATGAATTACAACATATCACATCAACTGCTGTCATGGAGAGGTCTGATCTTGCATTCCTGATCATTGTATTGATATGTCTGTCTAGGAGGCTCTGAAGTATATCTTGATACTGTTCAGTATGATTGTGACAGGCATTTCTGCGTTCTAAGGGCATACAGGTCCTGAAAAGAAAAATCTCTGTCCATCCTACCTTTTGCCAACAGCCAGGCATTGGTAATCCATCAGGACCCTGTTTCAAGGGGAGTAAAAGGATGAAAAAAAAAAAAAAAGAGTATAAGTAAGTTTGACAGGATAGATATTTCATCAACATCTGTTAGAACAGCTGATGCAGCTTTGACTTTCTATCTAAGAAGTAGCTCCCAGTTAACTTATTTCCTCTCTTATTCCCAAAGTGAAGGAAAAGCCAAAGGCAGGAAAGTTTACACTGTAAATACATACATGCACTTCTCTGCCATAAAGATTTGTGTTTTTTTCTAGATCATTAGAACTTCATCAGTTTCTTATTGCTACTACAGCACAGGTTACATGTTATTTTAAATATAATCTGTTTTATTCACAATAATCTGTATCTGAATGTACAGAATCAGTGAGAAAAAAATACTATGGTTTTTATCTGGAGAGTATTATGTTTTATGGGCCCCTCGTTCAAAGGTCACCCTGTGATAAGACAGCAGGACTCAAATGGGAGTAGGATCTTTTCTTTTCACTTTTATTATCAGTTTTTGAATGAAGCAGCCAAATCCTGAGGCCTGCACATACCTTGAGTGCCACGGTGGAAGAAAACATCAGCAGTGGGAGCAGGGCAGCACAGCACCACTGATTAGTTCAGTGCTTAGACAATATGGCCATCTAATTTCTTCTCATGTTAGTAAGAGTCACTCCTTTTCTTGTATCATTTCTACCTTCATGTTTCTCCATGCATCCAGTAAGATCAGGGCCAGCTTTTGAGTCATACTGGTTTTCATGGATCTAATTCTGATTTACATGGCTGCCCAGGGTTTGTTCAGGGAGTTATATGCTCAGAATTAGGAGCACATACAATGTAACTAGACTATGCATAAACAGAAAAAAAATCAGGCCTTTTGATTTATTAGAATTTAGAATACCAATACTTAATGTTAACCTACATGTGAAGATAATGGTTAATATGAATTTTTGAATATACTTGCATGTGGTCTGGTGTGAATTACTTGCTGCCTAAACAAGAGACAGTGCTGCATGCTAAACAGCTTATTCTAGCAATTATCCACAAACAGATTATTTTTGATCCATCAATGATTGTTAGTGAATCTTCAGATATAGATGATAATACAGAGACAGAGAAACATTTTTAAATTCCAAAAGCATGCTTGATTATCCCCAACAAAATATGAGATATGGTTACCATTAATTGGAAGCAAACAACATGGACTATGGAATAATCTTAATGGACTATGTATTTACAATTAAAAAGCAATTGACTTCAAATAGAAGTGCTATAGTCAAAATAAAACCTACTTAAATTTAACATTCATCTCAGAGAACCGTGCTTAACCACCAAACGATATCAGAACATGCAGATCGAATTTTACTGTGAACAATTAACAAGAAAATCCTCCTTGTATCTTTAAGAAATGTGTATGTACTATTCATTTGGAGTTTTCTTTCTTAAATGGAAAAGAGTTCCAACTTACTTTACTACTAAATAAAAATCATTGTTGCCAGATTGGTACAAGGGAGAGGGTCAAGAAGTAGCATTTTAGTATAGGTGGGAACTTGAATTCATGCTAGCATAGGGTGGGGAGTGTTGTGTGTATTCCAGGAGGGTAAGTTCCAGGGGTAAGACCATTAAATTGAGGACGTTAAATAACAAAGACAATGAGGGTTTGGGCTGCAGACCGTTATATTCTTACAAACATCAGGTAAGCTTTTTATTTCCAGATGTGTTTGAATACTCTGATGAACAGGCCAGACACCACAAACATCACTTGTGGATGGTCTGGAAGCCAAGCTCCAGCTTGGCTTACTGGAAACCTTGATTTTTAGAAATGGTATTTACATCCCTCTGTTTGTGACTCTCATTTTGGCTAAATTGTGAAAACATGCCCCTAAGATGGCAAGGATTTGGGAGGAAGGCCAGGGTGCAGAGTAGCTATGGGACAGACCAGGGTGTGGAACTGAGCCAGTGCAGACAGAAGTCATCAGACTTGATTAGAGGTGAAAATTGGGCTGGATTTCTACAATTTTGGGGTCAGGGTGAGTGAGGCAATGGGTATTGTGCGAGGAAAGTAACAAACCAATGATTCTCAGCGAAAATGTAGGAAGGGCACAAACTTATAAATTACCAGGTGATGTGGGAGCAAATTGCTGAGAGTTAGGCTTAAGGTGGCAACAAAAACTTGTGTTCTCTCACTGCAGTTATGATCACTTGAAGCAGCTGGTTTGTTCATGCACATGCACGTGTTACATGAAAAATGTAAAGTCATCTCAGAAAAACATTACTTTACATTGAGAATGGCTGACTACAAACAAAGGAACTGCATGCAGGGTTGGTAGGAAAGAGAAATACTGTACCAATTGGCAAGGGGCATCCAGCCCATCCAGGCCAGGCTGGCCTGGCTCCCCTTTTTCCCCCTTAATTCCACGGAATCCCTGTTTGTAAAGATTAACTTGCAATGTTACTGTCAAAGAAATGCCTTCAGTATTGACTTAAATGGAGTGAACAAAAAACAACAGGGAGGCAAGAGGAACAAGCTGACTGCTTATGATTTAAACCTGTGGAGTATTGATTCTGGCACATTCCAAATTTGGCCCTTTCCAATGTATTTTGCAGAAAAAATGAAAAAAAAAACCCAAAAGACCCCACTATCAACACCCCACAAACAACCCAAAGTTCTTAAGTCTGGTGCTTTAACCCCAATTAAGAGGTTTACAAACAAAGTCTGCTCCAGAATTTGCACTTGAGATGAAGCTGTGTTAACAAAGGGCAGCAGGTTACACAGTAGCTGGTGCTTGTTCCTCTCCCCTCAACTCTTATTCCATCAGTTTACAGCAGGATGACTGATCTTCCAATACACAAACGAGACGTACCAATGGGCAAGGTGCATCTAATCCAGGAGCACCCTGTTCTCCTTTCTCCCCTTTAGGCCCTTTTTTGCCTTTCTTTCCCTTTTCCCCCTGTGGATACAATGGTTTGGATAAAACAAGTTTCATTCTTTTGAAAAAAAAAAAATAAGGAAAGATTGGGTTTAAAGTTTGGGTTTTTCTTTTTAAGCCAATGGAGAGCTGAAAGGACACTTACCACTGTGTTCAGGTTTGGATGGTGCATTATGTGGAAAAATAAATTATATGATCACAAGCAAGAACTGCAATCAGTCTCTATTAGTTTGTGGTGGTATTTCATATCAGTATTAAGAATGTTTTGAAACCTAGAACAGGGCTTGATATCATTGATTTCTTGGGACAGAGGCAAATCTGCAAATCTCCCCAATCTGCAGTCCAAAATAAGAGGTGTCCTATTTTGATAAATGATAGCACTGAAGGGTACATGCTCACTAAGCTGAACTTGTCAGCTTCCCAGAGGATTTGCCACTAGTCAGAAGTAAGTTTGGGAGAGCAGAATCCATCAGCAGAATGTTTTGATAAAAGACCTGTGGCACAGATGCTTCACAGGGATGACTGACTCAATTCCATCAGCTTCCAGGGTGTCACATCAGGGGTGAACCTGGCCAGGAGCATCCTTTACTAACTGACCCTCTGCACTCTGGTAAGAGTTTGGAACAAATCCTGTTCTCTGTGGTGTCCATAGAAACCCATGGACATAACTGAGGGTGCACTGCTGTCACTCCGAATACAACACAACCATTTCAAACCCTGTTACAGGAATCAAAACACTCAAACTGCTTGATGGAGAGGTGCTATGACACTTCCAACAATTTCATATTGCCTTGGTATCATAAAGTAATCAGAAGGGGTAATTAGATTATTTATTTAAGCATTTCAACATTCAAACATTCTGTCTGCTGCAGGCAATGATTCATCTATTTGTTTTACAAAAATTCAATCCTTTCACACTGAGTTTTCTTTTTAAATGTGAAACTTCCAATGCTTTCATTCTCAGGGCAATTAGCTGATTCCCCTCAACAAACCTACCTGCAAAGATGACCTCACCTTCAAGCAGTGTAAGAGGTTTAGAGAGTTCATTTTATAATTGATTTCACACCAGTTGATCACAATGGTAAATGAGTTTCAGGTTGCTCTCAATTTCACAAAAATCAAAAAGGCATCACTTAAAAAAATAACAAATTGGACTAGGATTGTAAAAAATGGGATAGGAAGGATGAGTAAATCAGGATATCACAAAGAAGTGGGAAAATAGTCATAGGAAAATTAGTATAACATTGGAGAACCAGCAAGTGAGGTTGTGGCTATTGGGAGGATTTAATTTGTGAGGAAAAGGGTAAAAAAGACAGAGGAATTGTAAGGAATGAGGGTAGAAGGAGAAGGAAGGAATGCCCCTTTGGAAAGACAGACGGATTTTGGTGAAGCATATTAAATAGACATTTAACTTGTTCCACACCAGTACAAAAAGGCTTAATCCATTAACAAGAGAGAAACATAATCTTATACTTAAAAAGACTTCATATAAATAATATTTTAAAAAGGATGGAAAGCACATTCATCATTTCATATAACAGCATACTTGACACATTCAAATAAAACAAAATGTTCCATTGACAAAACATACTGCATTCATATCACGATAGAAGCAAAGTTACTTGTCTATCTTTTCTGTGTGCCAAAAAGTCACAGGATAATATTTGGAAAAACAGCAACTGAAACATTGCCAGTCCTTACCAAATGATAAGACTGATGTAAAAAAATCCTCACAAGACAAGAACAATAAATTTCCATATTAAACCTACCAAGATGACAATGTAGCAGAGAAACCCAACAGCTTAGGGTCAAATTTTGTGCTATTTGTGCTCCGTGTAGGACCAATATATTTGCAATGAGTGTATGCAAGCACAAAGCATGGACATACTCCAAAAAGGATTCTGAGAATGAACAGTACAGTTTGGTTTCTGACTATGCTTAAATTTTTTTTTTATTTTTTTGTTTTTTTAACTTTTTGTTTTACAAGCCAGCAGGTAACTATTTTCAACTTCCGGTTTTGCAGGCAGATCTATGATCTTACTCAAACCAATGCAACAGTTACCTGTATAGAAAAATTCTGAATTGCCTGGGCACTTTATTACTTTTTCCATCGACTGAGTATCTTCTTTTTAATCTTTGATCTTTACTCCTTATCCTGAACTATAGAAACTCACAGGAGTTATGGGGATTCTACATGTGATGAGGATAAAAAAAAATTCCTTTCTGTCCTTCCTCGGTGCCTAGAGAAATAAAAAATTGTGGCACTTCTGCAACACCATTATGGTTGGAACAATCTGCAATCCTCATATGCACAGATTTTCATCAATGTAGGGTGCAGGGGAAAAGGATAATGCCTTTTCATCCTCTGTTCAGACACACCATACTCCTCTGTCAAATACATAACACAGTCACAACTGTGCATCTGGGACCGCGGGCCACTTTCCTCCCTTCCCCACAACACAATCTCTAACTTTGGTTAAAGCTTATTCGTTTCTGAAAGAATTTTTTTTTTCTATTCATACAACTTGAAAATACAAACCTTTTTTGGGATGAGTGCTCCTGGACTATAATTTTATATGAGTAATAGTAATTACAGCTAGAACACTTTAAAAAATATTTTTACAGCCATGTTAAGAAGACATAATGCAGACACTGACTTGCTTTCACAGTAGCAGAACTACTCATGGACTAAAATACAGATCAGCAAACTTAAGAAGTAAAGATTTATTCCCTGCATGTCTATGAAAAAAGTGTCACTAGTTCTCTTTAGAATGTTCATAACGATATGTATTTTTGCAGTGCAATTTAAGTTTCTTAACTAGAAACTCACTAATCTCAATTTGTGTCATGTCAGACCAATAGCCAATATTGTAGAAAAAATATTTCTTTAAATATTAATAAATATTTAAAAACCAAGAACTCATAAGCTAGATTGTCAAATTGTTTATTTGTTATTACAAAAATGGCTTATCTGTTGAAATGGGTGCTGTTACACCAATTTGGCCATAGATAATTAGTAATTTACATAAGGAAAACCTTATGTAGAATACAGAAGACTTGTTATAATGAGAACTTGGATTTATTGCGCTACTTTGCATCTTTTGAGAGTCAGCTTTCTACTTGGAAAAGAAACTATTGATGCAGCTCAAGTAATTTTGATGAAATGTTTGCTTACATGATGTAAATATTCCCTAATTTCTGGGAAAAATTAGTTCAAGCTGTGCAATGGAAGTGTCTTCCACAGAGGTCTCAGCTATATCTTCCCTGACTTTTCACTGGGAAAGGCCTTCCTTTGCCTCCTAGGTTTCCTTAAAAATTCTGGGAATTTTTAAGGTAGGTATTCCATCTCCATTTCTGCCCTACATACTTCCTTTCAATCCTCTTTCTAAAAGTCCACACAACAGCACATTTTTTAAACATGTAACAGACTTGCTAACTACTTAATCCCATTCATTCTCCTCAGGAGACAGGGCTTGCCTTTTCACGAATTTTTAAGGGGATGGAGAACCAGAGTTCTTAGGAGATATGTCTTGCAGTCCAAGAGAACAAGTCTCCACAGGCAGCCTAAATCACAACTGAACTCCAGAAAGGGTGTAGCTGTGCCACACACCATTCCCACATGAAATTCCCTCACTCCCTTGCAGCTGGAAGTCCCACGTTTGACTTACCTAGTCAGTCCCTGGGAATCAAGTCTAATATCCAAAAGTAGCACACTGGACTCTGGAACATTAAAACATTCTAACATCCTGAGTACTGAACCTCATCTGTTCCATTTTCACATTGTATTTGTATAAGCAAACAATTTACCAGCTTTCCATCTTTTCTTCCAGAAATCTTCTGGAGCTCTGGTGGCTGTCTATCTGCTCTAGCTGTACATGGAAACACAGACTCAAAGTTTGGCTGAAAGGGAGTTCTGGAGGTTGCCTAAGATCCCCATTGTGATCAGGATGATTCCTGACCCTAGGTCAGCTCAGACCAGCCCAGGGTCTGCAGAGCTCCTTGGGCAGGGGTCCAGCCCCCTCTCTGGACTCCCTGTCCCAGTGCTGTGCTCTCCTCCTTGTGAACAATGGCTCAGAACCTCTCAGGAGCACCTTGTGGTCCTGTCTTTCCCCATTTGCAATTACCCAGAAGAGTTTTGCTCTATCATTTTTTATCTCCCCTTTTGAGTAGTTTGGCGATCCCATTGTCAGACTAAGCCAGTCCCCCTCCTCCAGCCTCTGCCACTGGTTGTGTTTGCCCCAGACCCCTGCCAGCTTGGTAACCTTCTCACTCTCCAATTTTTTCTTGAACTGTGAGGCTCAAAAGACTATCTGCAGTATTCAAGCAACCTCACTGGAACTGATTAGAGAGGCATAATTACTTATTTTTATCTTCTGGACACAACTCTTTGAATGTATCCCAGGGTGAGAACACACTGTTAAGTTCACTCAATTTGGCACCAGCTGTAACTCCCACTTAGCACAAAGAGCATTTTGACCATCACCTCTCTGAGCTGGCTGTTATCAGTTGCACCTTTAGACTGACAGCTGCTCTCCAGGAGAAAAGCTGTTCACTGGTGGCAGACAGACCTGTACTGTGGCAGCAAGCAAGGGCTCACCATTCATTGTGATTACTCTGCCAGGTCAAACACTGCCTTTATAACATTCATGGAGTACCTACTTAAACAACTGCTGTTCTGCAAAATCAGTACCTTATCAGTGATCTCTGAGCTCAAAAGAAAGAGCAACATAGCAAGGGACAAAGGGAAGGATGAATTTCATCATACCCTTTTCAATGCATTCTTGGGAAGTGTTTTGTCTAACCAGATTAAGAAATGGAGATGAACTCTAACACTCATGGTGACTTTTTAGCCCTGCTTCTTGTTCAGGACACCATAATGAGAAATTAATCCAGCCTAACCCTGCATATGTCAGCTTGACAAGAACATTGGTCTGAGCTAGAAAAATCATCTGTTGCATGTATGGACTTTTACATTAAGTGGCTTGGTGTGAGTTCTAATTCAGCAATTTTAGCAGCTGGGCTTTGTGCTGGATAGAAATGGAAGAGATTCGCTCATGAAGTTTCTCTACACATACATTAAATCCTGCATTGCTTTTTACTGAACAGATTTCCAAGTCACTGTATCTGGACACGGAAAATGAAGTCAGCTGTTTCTGTTAACTTCACTGTCTAGTGGGTTTACCAGAATGGTAGAATATATGATTCAATTTAAATCCACAAGTATCACAAAGTCCTTAACTGCAAATAAAACATTATCAAAAATAAAAATTCAGACAGTTCTTGTCTTAGACACTTGGTGTGTAACAGGTAGCATGTACAGGCATGCTACACCAGGATCAACCATTAGTGTGCAAATACTGCCAGGGAACAGAGCTGAGCTCTTCAGTATAAAATCACTACCACAACAACTAGTGTCTGCATTAAATATTTCAGGACTTTCAACAAGTGCAGGATGGATTGGAGAAAACAAGCCTAAAAAAAAAGGCTGTGCTTTGGGACACGTTGGTATTTCTAGTCCTATACACACTTTTTGTGGCTTTTCATGATTTTGCTCTAGTGTGTATCTGTGACTTTTGGCACACAGTAAAAACAAAGGTAAGTTATAATGGGACAATTTATAGTGCAAAGACAGCAGAAGTGGTTAGCTGAGGAATCAAGCAACAGTTATCAACACTATGGTCACCTTTTCTCCCTTTTCTCCTATATCACCCTTTTCTCCTCGAGGACCAGGGAAACCCTATAAAAACAAAGTGGAAAAAGATAGGTTGACTTTTATTAACATGCAGATTAGGTTCTCAAATACTCCTGGAAAACCTAAAAAGATGATTTCACTATATGCTCTGTACATATATTATGTGTGGACACATGCACGGACACAAGAGCATGTGAAACAAGTAAGCCACAGAGGTTGGTAAAGACATTTTGGCAGCTACAGAAAGAAATCATACCACTCAAACTAGCAATCATCCATGCTACATCCAAACTAGCAATCATCCATGCTACACAGCTTATGTGCATTCTTAAAAAGACTCCTCCAACTTAGGGATTTCAGTGTAGGACTACAGAAGAGGACTTTCACTAAGTCTTTTTAGCATGCAAAGGAAAGAGCCTATGTTTTGAAACATATCCCTTACAGGCTATGAAATTATTCTCTTTAATTAGAATAAATTTAGTTAACCAAGTGCTAAGTGAGCCCTGTTCTTCTACAAATGAGTCATCTGAATATTTTCTGAGTAAGCATTTTTTCAGCCTACTGACATCGAAAGGACCAAGTACTGGTATTGCTGAGCACCACTATCTGGGGGTGTCTGTCGATAAGGGCTGTACATTGCACAATCTTTGTCCTCTTTAGCGCAGAGAAAGAGCAAACACAGCACTCAGCACACCCTCTGCAGGTCCTGCATGCACGCTAAAGGGCAGCAAAGGTGTTGTGCTCCACAAGGGATTCTTGGCAGACTCTTACCAACCCCTGAGGGTGCCCTGGTCACACACATTACTTACATCGAGGCCAGGCTCGCCATCTTTGCCCTGCCAAAGAACCACAGGAACTGCATTAGCTTCCCTCAGACAAGGACACTGCTGCCCATGCTTAACATTTCCAGGAACTGATAACCTGGCTGCAAAATTTTGCTTGACTGTAAAATTTTGTTTGCAGGCAGATTCCAAGAGCAAGCAAAAAATACAAAACCAGCTAAAAACCTATAAAATTTTATTTTTAGTTCACAGGAATGGGAAACAGAAAAAGGATTTTTTTAAAAAAATTAACTCATAAAGGTGACCCTCACATAAAAATGTGTGGCAAGCTAATTTAACACTCCATGGAGCCTGAAAACTGTCCCCAGCCACTGACTCCTGATCCAATTAAACGGATCCAATTAAACCACAGGTCTGTATTCCAGCTTAAATTAATTAATCACACGAATTAGACTGGAGAGGGTATGGAAACACTAAAAGTTTCCTGGAAAGGCTGGTTGTGCCTGGCCAAGCACATTTACATGACTTTCCTTGCGTCAAAGTACAGAACAGACTTGTGTATATGTACACACCTGATCCAGTCATTAGCAGTGTAAACAGGGAAAGTCAACTGATTTTATTGGGGATATCGTTGTCAGGCCAAAGGAAGTTCTCCCTCATATTTTAGAAATGGATAACATAATTAAAATGATTGATTTAAAACAAATAATTTCACCTATGAGTGAGCAACAATGAAATTCTCACGTAACTTCTGAGTAGATGGCACAGAAATGAAAACAAAAGAGGTCTCTGAAGCAACAAACAAAACAAAAACATAATGGCGAAGAAACCTTGCAGAATGGAAATCCAAGCAGCAAACTGACATGAAGAAATTCTCAGCTTTCCACAGTTCCTGGACTCCTGGCACTCTCACATTGTCCCCAGGCAGCTGATGGCCAAAGGCTGCTGAACCAGGAGCACCTGCATTCTGCATTTCCTCTCTCCTGCTGGTTCATGTCAGGTCTGGTTTTTTATGTGCATGGGTAGAAACCCAAGAGTGTGACACAGAACACTGACCTTGCACTGTCAGGGTTTATTATCAATCTCTGCCTTTTCCAACTAATTCTACTGCTAGGTGAAAATCAGCCATAAAGCACACAAAGTTTAATCAGGGAGGGATGAAAAAGTGCAGTGTGTACAAACTCTGTGCAACTTACAGGCAAGCCATATGGTCCTCTGGGTCCAGGGTCACCTACAGCTCCCTTCTCACCCTAAGAAAAGATTACAGAACAAGCAAACAAAAACATTGGCTATCTTAGAAATTATCTCTGCCAAGTGCTTTAGGTTAAAGTTTATGCATTCCTAAGTATTTTGAGTGAAAAATATCCAAGCTCATTTATTTTCATTAAATGTTTAAGGGAGAAAGAGAAGGCATTACCATTCTTTCTAGGAAGAATGACTTTTTAGGCATATGATATCACATTCATTTCTAAATACATTAGTAGCTGAAAATATGTTTCAACTGAACACGCACCAGTGTCAAGTTTAAGCTTCTGACAGCTTAATGTTGCTCCCAGTAAAAATCCAAAGTTGTAATGAAAACTGAGGATATACATCATCAAGCTGTATATACACACAGCAGCTGAGATGCAACAGAGTGACAGGCAAAAATAAAGTGTCAGTCAAAGCTTGATTTAAGTAGGCAATGCTATTAACAGTGACATTGTGAAGATTATCCTATGCACTGTGCTGTGTTGCTAAATCCTCTACTGGATTCTAGATAAGTGATGTAAATACCCTGGTTTATTAAAATCAAAACAACTGTAATAATATGCAAGACAAACAAGTACAGAGAATTCTCCAGAAGTCTGATCTCATTCTGCACTAAAATCCATGGAAAAATTACCAGTTTCCAGAGGGGTGCTGCCAAAGTCATTTTGCAAGCTTAATACAGGGTAAACTTTTCCAAACGGAATGGAATTTCAAGGCGATGAATTTCAGGCTGACAGTAATAATCACCTTTGCTCTCTAATTTTTTTTTATCAAGATTGATATGAAGTTAAGCTTCCCAAACCAGCCAGGACTAGCCTGTATAACTGCAAGCACAGGTCCCTGTGAGCTTGGTAGGGAGTCAGGGCTGGGAAGAAGGTGTGGAAAGCAGTCTTATTTCAGACTGTTCTTTCTTCTGAATGAAATCCAACAGAAAAGCATTTCTCTCTGGAGAGAACTGAACGGCTCGAAATGTTGATGTTGAAATGGAAGAAGAAAATCCTGACCACCTGTAGTTTTCAAAGCTCCTACTCTGGATTTGTCATGCAGGGTGACTTGGATCCCTTTGTCAGCCCCTTTGGTGAGCACACCCTAACACAGGGCTTCCTGCAAGGCTCTTGGTGTGCACAGGGGCTGTGGCTCATCCTGGCATTTGCTGCACTTATGCTCGTGAGAGAATTCTCTGTACAGCACCCTCTGGGTTATTTACTACTTACTATTACTTCATTAATGACTCTATCATTAAAAGCACAAGACAGAGATGTAGATGTGTACCTAATTAATAGTGGTGATTACTGGCACAGCCAAGCACTTGGCACAGCTCTGAAAATGGGCTGCTATGTCTAAATTTCATTGACTGAATTATACAAAAAGGCAGGCACCAGCACCAACGGGACCTTAACCTGTGTTTGAATAATCCCAGCAATAAGGAGTTTGTCAGAGTAACTGACATTTGATCTGTTTTAAATACTTTATATTTTTACTTAGGTGGGCACTTGCTTTAGTCTAGAGGTAATGAGATGTGCAATGTTAGGTCTTTTTTTTCTGGATTCTGCTACTCCCCTGCTAATTTCTGAGCAGCTTTTGGGCTGGATGCCTTGGCAGGACAATAGGAGGTATTGGGAACTAACATCTGATTTTCAAAACAATAAATCCCTTGCAGCTTTAAGGCTTTCTGCTAAGAAGAAACTAATGTGCTGACCTATGTAGGTAAGAGCTACAGAAATCTTTGATCAGGACTTGAAATATGTCAAGACCAGTTAAGCATCTTTTTTTTTTTTTTAATCTTCAACAGCAAGATGACTGTACAAAGTCTTCTCAAGATAGGCTTATAACATTGCTAAACATATGGCAGACATAAAAATACTGAATGTATCAGTCTAGGAAATAATCACATCTGTTATGTAAGAATATATTTGGAGAACTGCATCTCAGAATTTTTTGTGTCCAATACAAAGCACATGCTGAAACATGTTTGGAATATCAGATGAGGTCCTGAATGTTCATGGATTATATGAGATTAATGGACTGTCATGAGTATACTGCCCTCAACCATCACAATTTCCTTCAGGGCAGCAGATATTAGCAACCTTCAAGATTTTGTTTTAAATTTATTTGTGAGACAATCCATCAGTGTCCAAAGAATAGAAACCATAATGTATGTTTTTGCCTATTTCACTTCAGTCTCCTGAATCATAGACAAATATGAGTTACAATTTGAATGAATAAAGCTGAATAATCTGTGTCTCCATTAGGATAGACAGGGAGATTTCATAACATTGTTATGGTGAGAAATATTTTAACCGAATTAAAGAGAATGCACTTTAGCTACTGGTACTAACTGTGTGTAATGATGACAGTGCTGCACAGGCTACACATCTAAAAGCTAAAATCAAGCTCAAAACCAGGCCTTTGTCACCAATGAAAAAAAAAAAAAAAGAAAATGTTTATTTCCAGCTCTCAGATTCCTTTAGCTGGTCAAGAAGCTGGATATACATCATGCCTGTCATCACCCTTCAGGCTTACATGTCCCCTTTCATCAGTATTAGCTGAAGATGTCTGTTTTCCAGTGTTCTCTACTTTCACTCAAGACAGTATATAAGTGAAAATAATAGGTACACAGTCAGATTCAGAGGCCTATTATGACCTACTCCTCCATTTCATAAAGATGGTCTCAGTAAAATCTCTCTAAGCACTTGGTAAAAGGTAATTCCAATAGCTGAAAATTAGTAAGAATTAATAGACACTGTCTTAATAAATTGTATTTTCACATTATTTATTAATATTAATAATAATAATTATCATTAGTACTATAATTATAATATTATTAGAATATTAGTAATATTATTAATATACTAATTATTAATAATTAGAATTATTATTAATTCTACTAAAAAACTCATAAAACCACATTATAGTGTCATGATTTTCTTATTCTACCTTGTCACCATCTAAATAGACGTTGTATAAAAATGATCTGACATTTCTGTTTTAATAGTTAATTGAAAATCAACAACCCACCCTAATTTGCACAACAGTTTGCTCTACCTCAGAGTAGTAATTGAGCATCACCTCGAATGCAGCCTGTGCAACAATGAATTCATGATTATTCTGTTAAACAGCCCCAATGCCCTCCCAGATTTATACTGGCCCAAGATTTTTCTTATCAATACAGACAAAATAGGGCCCTATCCAGTGACAGTGAACACTGGCCCTACGCACTGTTTTTAATTAAAAAGTAAAGTCTGAAGTCTGCAGACTAAAACATTTCCCTGCTGCTTTCACATAAACAAGTTCAACAGTTGCGAATGCAAGTTGTAAAACAGCATTAAAAATACATGATTTGTTATTTAAATAATGAGACATATATCAACACTGTGCACCTGTTACATAACTGTGCTACAAACAACTCCTCCCAAATGGTATTGAATAATTAAATTAACAATTACAGCAACAATCCTGCTGGTTGCCTGCTTGGGAAAAACCCTTCCATCTGTCTTGTGAACTTCCTCCCATTCATTTAGCTCCACAGAAAATGGTGGGTGTGTAGGAATTTTCTGCACACCTTGGTCTCTCTATTTTTGTGAAGTTCTCCCTCTGTGCTCATGCAATTACTGATTTACATCACAGCAATTCGTATCCCCTTTTCAGCTACTGCTTCTCAACAGATACAGTGGGGCTTATTCCAGATCCAGCTGTATGACTTCTTATGACCTTGAATACCCTCACAAGAAAAAAACATTAGTAGCTGTCTTCCACAGACAAAAAGAATATTTTATATTATATTTAATTGTCAAAGACATTTCAACTTGTAGTACATTGTATACTTCTACATGTGTATCTCATCTAAATTTTTTACTTAAGTTTAGAGGATGTTCAACTATCTCTGCACAAGAGTTGAGAGAAGATATATATTGTCCTAATTGAAGGAAAAAAAATTAATTGAATCAGTAATCCCCTAGAAAAACAAAAAATACTCAAGTTCTTCACTTAACTAGCCTTAAGAGGTAACTGCAGCCCACTGTACAGTTTAATTTGGACTGTGCTGCATGTTTTGTATCTATCCCTCAATACACTGCTCTGTAAAAATGAATCTTACCTTTCTCAGATGAAGCTAACTGGACCACTGCCACATGGCTGTGTCCCTTTTACAGCTAGTCTGAAGCTGATTTAGCACAGTGTTTTGTTAAAGCTTGTTTGGTTGTTTTGTTTGAGGAAGTCAAAGAGACAAAGTTGTGGACTGGTAACTCCTCAGAGGTTTTAGGATATCATCTTCTGGTATGTTGTAAAAATTGATGGTTGTATTGTTAAGGGTGACAGGATTATAGTTAAAGATTAGAGTTCCTATCCTATTTCCACTGGAGAAAATTTACTGTGAATATTTCAAAATTAAATAGCAGGGCTCCTATCTTCTAAGCTTTTAAAAAAATAAAGAAAAGCTTAAATTTTACAGAGGCTGGAGATATTTTCCCCAGATAAAAACATTTAAGTGTATAGAGGAGAGAAATACTCTTTTTTTTTTGTCATTGCATTCTTACATAATCAGATCACACTATCTCCTTTTGTACCAGCTTGTTCTCAATTTGCACAACATAATGAAGCCAATGAAAATCGTGTTCTGTTTGTGACACTGTGAACTAGAAAGTCCAGCCAATTTCTTACTGATTAGTCATTTCAAAATACAAACTCCCCTGAAGTTAATGAGTTACAATGTCAATCTCAAACAGATAAATGTGTGTGTGAGTAGAGCACATATCCAGTTCTGGGCTGCTCCTCTACAGGTGAGATACTGTTCTGTTCTGTAACATCTAGGCACAGTATGTGTCCCCATGTGACATTTTTCCACTGAGGCAGTCACTTTGCAGGGAGGAGCACATGGAACATATACTTACTCTCTCTCCTTTGGGACCTGCAGGGCCATGGGGACCAACTGGGCCATCTATTCCCTACAAAAAGGAACAAAGAGGGTAAGAGAGAGGTCTTGTTCTTACAACTCTTTAGTTTTAATAGCTGGCTTGTACACAAGAACTAACATGGAATCAGTCTTCACTGGTTGAAAATTTGGATTTAATTGTGATGCAACCTATTTGGCTTTCAAAACTCCACCTATAACCTCTCCTGTTCCAAGGCAGAGCGTTCTACTGGCGTTACTACATCCATGGAAGCAATGAGAACTACAAAGATCTTAAACTGATTGGAAGAAGATGGAAGGGTCAAAAAAAAGATTTTAATTATTGTTTTATTTTTAAAATCGATTTTTCTTTAAATTGAAATGTCTACCTGTAAGATGGACTTAGCTATTGCAGGGATCAGTGAGAATCTTACTTCCAAGATATAACTCTTTCACTGCATAGATTTCTTTATCATTCAAGAAAGCAAAAGGTTTAACATCTCTGGTGTGTAACATAGCAACGTGTGTAGATGAACCCCAGCACATCTGCATCTTCTTCACTGATTCCATATTAGCACTGAACAGCTCTGTTCTCCTGCAAGCTAAATCTCTAACCTTACTCAGGAAGCTCAGCAACCCAACCAAGGCAGTTGTCCAACCAAAAATCAAAGCTAAGCTGCCTTTTTAAGGTTCAGAGCTCCTTCTACAGAGAATTACATTCTCTTTCCCACACACATTGCCCTAAGAACCTGCTTGAAGCCCCCTCCTCAGCAGCATGGAACATGCCTGCAGCATTGGGCCTTCCTTCCTGTGTGCAGAGAGGAGCTTGGCTGGCAGAGCCCTGGGAAGCACAGGGACTGGGTCACAAAGGGGGACACAAAGACAAGGGACTCACCCGGGCTCCTGGCTTCCCGTCTAAGCCAGATGCTCCCTGTGTGGTGAGGTGGAAGCATGGATGATGGGCACGACACGAATGACAAGAAGGTGAGATTAGTAAGTGGTGCTGATGAATAAACACAATTCAAACGTACAGTACACGCTGTGACAGGGTTCTGGAGTGGCTACCACATTACTACAGCATGTTAGTTAAAAATTCACATGAAACACCAAGAGCCTGACTCTGCTCTCACTTCAGTGTAACATCACCGACCCACCCCTGCCCTCACATGAAGTATATTAGAGCAGAATATTGTCAGGCTGTAGGAGCGCTACAAACACCAGATGTTAGGGTGTTTTTGAGCCTGAACACACAAATATTTACTTTGTCATTTACCCGCATGCTTTCTGATTTGTAAATAGCGACAATACTGAATAGTATACACAAAGGAAGAAAAATGTGTGTTAACTGCGATAGGAAATATTTAAGTGCAAGAATACTGCATTATGCAGCCAACAAAATCTGGATCCTGACCACAATGGGCTCATTCATTTCCAAGGGCCCGAGAGACAATCCCATTTCCTGTTTTCCCGCTACGCTCCCAGGCACGGGCTGCGGTGAGCGATGTGAGCCTGAGCATCCCTGGGGCCGGGGGGACCCCTCGTGGGCTCCGTGCGAATAACAACAGAGCGGCGGCCGGGGACACGGGGCACGGGGCACAGCGCCACGCGGGACACCGGGAAGCGTCCGGGGAACACCTCCCTCCTAAAACAGCCAACCAAACCGACCCTCAAACAAACCCCAAATCTCCAGCCAATGCAATAAAACGAGACGGTTTTCGGAACGCCAAGCTCTAGGACTTGGCTCCTGAAAATGACATTTAGAAGTAGCAAGCAGGAGCAAGACAAGATCTGTGTAAATTTGAAAAACGTAGTAGCAATTTTTGTTCTGAAGTCTCTTCTACCTTATAGCCATTTCTAGAACATATGCTCAGGCCTCCAAAGCTCACTCTCTACAGAGATGTAACTGTCAATGTGAAAATGAGTTTTATTTTTCTCAAAATAAATTAAATCAAAATTCTCAGTGATGCTGACCTTGTCCATAGGTCCTGCACATAATTCTTGAAAATATTAATCAGAGAGGTTTGTGCTCCTTTGGGTCAGCTAAGTCTTTTTTCCCCATTTTACTGTTAACAATGTCATCTCTGGGAGCAATCCTCATACAATAACAACAGCAAACAGGAAAAATTAACTCTTTTTCTGAGAAAAAAAATAAAGCTGCCTTTTCAGCATGCTTTCAAACACATAAAGTATTTTCTACTTTATCAACCTAAGTTTTAAGAACTCTGATGTCTCCATAGTTTTAAGGTTCTTCACTTGTAAGACAAAATTCATGCCAAACACTCAGAATGGCAAATTTCTAAAGAACAAGGCAAAAATAAGAATCCAGGGGGAAAAAAAAAACCTAAAAAAATGCAACTAAATTCCCTAAATCAGTTTTTAGTTTTCGTAAATTAGACTCAATTAGACTCTCAATTTGAACTGCAGAAGTGCAATAAGAGGAAGAATAACTGAGGAGATGGGGGAAAGGGAAGACTCCTTTTTTAATGGAAACACCATAGAACACTTGAATAACAACAGCATGACTAATGCAATGGGGGTGATGACATCCTTGTGACACTGAACACTCTCAACTGACACACAACAACAACAACAGCAACAAAAAAAAAAAAAAACCTGACAGCACTGGGTTTTACAGGACATTACTTGGGATGATAGCACAGATTTGGGACAAAACAAAACAAGACTGATGCTCTGCTCCAACATGGTATATTCTGTGTATGCTATTGAGTAAATCAGAGTTGTTCATGAGGAGTAGAAAGAGATGTTTGTGATTTGCACTGAAATTGAATAGTTGGGTTTTTTTTACTTACTGGAAGACCAAGGGGCCCTCTGTCACCCTTTTGACCTGGTTCACCCTTCAATCCTTTAAGACCATTTAACCCTGGTTCACCCTAAACGTAAAAGTATAAATGCCAAATTTTTGGTGCTATAATGGGTGTTTAAGCTGGGATAGAAGAAGCCAGTCTCAGAAGTAGCTGCAAATTCCAGTTTGAAACAAATTCAACCTTCTCAGCTTACTAGCAATTTACATACTGATTTAATAGTGGGCAAAAGCACCTGGGAGGTGTCTGCTCGAGATTTAAATTCTGTGTAAAAAAAACTACAGGAAACTTATGGGTAACAGACTTTTTAAATATTTTCCTAATAATTATCACTACAGTTAGATGGTTTGAATTAAGCATGAGTTTCAGGGGGTTTTGGAAATTCTTCAAATCCCATAAACCACCCTATGCAGATAATTCAAACTGAAAGAAAATGTTCATAAAAGTAAGCCTCAAAACTCTAAGTTTCTACAGTGAGATCCCCTGAAAAGTACATTTGGAAGGAAGCAATACTTTTCCTTACAGTAAACTGGAATTTGCAGCAAAATCTTACATAAGGATATTTTAAACCTTTAAGCATACATAATAAACAGTAACAAGTTAAAAGAAACAGTACAGGTTACACAATGCCAAGCCATTTGGGAGGTCCACAGTTTCTGTGTTCATACAGAGAAATTTTAACAATGTAAGAAATGGCACTTGTTGTGATTATTAAATTATGCACAGGCTATTACACTAAACATCACTAAAATGACAATACTGGGCTGAGAGTTGCCAATAAATCATTCTCTCATAATGAAAAACTGCATCAGCATGAGGGCTGCTCAGTCAAAGAGAGTATTGACCACACCTGCCTCTTTTGGAAAACAGAAATACATGGGTATTTCATCCAGACTGCTCCCCATGGCCTCATTGCTAGATTTCCCTTTGATGTATTATGTTACCTTATATTATATTCATATTTTAAAAAAAAATCTCAGTAGAACCCAGTCTGCTCCTTTAAGTAACTCCAGACATCATCTGCCTGCTTTGCACCCTAAGTAGCCATTTCTTCATTCTTATTCTATTTGACTCGATGTGACTTTCAGACCAGTAGCACTGGAAAGGCTGAAGTTTTGGAAACAGACCTGAGAAATCCCACAAAAGCCTGAGTCTCAAGCCAAAAGCCTGAGGTAAAGCAGGGCTGGTGCTAAAATGGAACATATTTGATTTCAAAATATGATTTATGACTTAGGTTTCTTGAGCCAAGGTAACACAGTCTCATAAGGGGTCAAACCCGTGATTTTCTGTCTTGCAGCTTTAAAAACCCAAACTAAAAAACCCAAAACTAAAAAAAACCACCCTTTCCTCCTCTTCCTTATTTTTTGAGAAAGGTGTGATTAGAGACCCATAGTGATTTAAATGATCATGTCTGACAAGACCACTGGTCTTAATGAATACAGTGTCATGCTGAATTTTAGCTTAAAGCACAAATTAAAATATTCCAACTCTGCCAAAATGCACTTCTGCTCTCCTGAGCTGTTCTGATGGGCTAGGAGAGTCCCTAAAGAATATCTATGCTATGGAAGATGTTCAAATTGTATTGCAGACCTGTCTGATCATGAATCCAGTTTGGAAAACACAAAAATGCACACATCAGTTTGTGATGAACCAGTATAGCATGTGAAGGAACTGGTCAGCAAAATCCCTGTCACCTAACAAAGGCCATGGAGACTGGAAGAAGAAGGAGATACAGGAGAGCATAAATGAAGTCAAGTTTATCTGACTTCATTTCCCAAGACTGTAACATGCTTCTGTATTCCAAAGTAATTCCAAGGGCAATGGTAGCTTGCCCATAAACAGGAAGGCAAATAATTTAGTGCCACATTCCTCATATTCATACAAAAAATGGACTCAGCTGATGCTGAGGAGAAATACTACTCAGAAACAATCCCAGACAATTTAAAAAGCTTTTAAGCTGCTAATATGAAAATCTGCTTTAAGGTTTAAGAATATCAGAAATGTTTATTAAATGAGGTATGACAAAACACAGCTCCATGCATTCAAGAGCAAAACATGACACTTTGCAGGCATAAAGAGCTCATCTATTCAAGACAGCTATTAACTTACCTTCGGGCCAGGCAGTCCATGAGGTCCCTGAAAATAAAAGTAACATTTTTCATTATGAAAATACACCACAATTTTTTGGACTTTTTGCTTTGTAGGGATACAAATTACCCCTGTATTTCTTTACTCTCAAAAGAAATGCAGCTGTCAATAAAGCAACAGTAAACACCTGATTCTGAGGAGGAACCAGACCACTAGCATGTTAACAATAACAGAAATGTGCAATTTGTTTCTCCACCTCCAAAGAATTTCAGGACATGCACCAAAGATTTACAAATTAGATCCTCTCTTCAATGGCTACATATTCTGATAACACTTTTAGTAAGCAGACAATAAAGTGGCAAGAGGGCATAGACCATTTCTAGCCCCTCTGTTCCTCCCAAGCTTACCATGGGGCCTGGAGGACCATGTGGCCCTGGTGGTCCAGGTGGTCCTATCATCTACAGATAAAAAACAATGGTATTAAATCATGCAGAGCACAGAACTCCCACAGAAATACCAGAAGTCAGGCTGACCCTTGTTGGCAAGCACTTCCAAAAACAGCTATGCAGCAGTGAACATTGACAGCGCATCTAGACAGGGCTTTAGGAATGGGAATTATTTTGATTTGAAAGACAGGGTACCCAAAGTGCAGATCTGCCTGTGCCATATGGCAGTGTGCCTGCCTCCAGATTCTTATTCCTAGGGTCTGTGATACACTTGAAGACACTATGGGGGAAAAGTAATAAATCCCTGTAAAACAAACAATACTGAGACGGGATACTTGAACTTTTAATATTTTATGGTATGTGCTCTGTAGTTCTCTCTTGTACTACTTATTCTACAGAGCTAGAAGGTGATGATGTGTTATTTTATTCCCCCTCAACACTGACGACTGGAAAAGATACTAAATTCAAGCTGGGCTTTGGAGTAATTTCAAAATTGCCCTTTGTCTCTCCTTTTATTTCTTTTAGCTCACTTCTACCAAAAATTCTCTGAGGTCACTGAAATAGGTAATCAGGTTGCTCAGCATTTAGTGCATGCACATTCTGCACTGTTTTTCCATGTTCCTAACAAATCCATGGAAAGAATTTCATGATGATACATCCAGTTTAATATCCCCTCTCTTCCTGGACCTACTCCCAATGGGTTGCTGCCCTAACCTGCAGAGTGGCAGCAGGATGCTAATTCAGGTCTCCAGACTCATGCACTGCTGCAGCAGCTGTCGGTGGCAGCAAGAGCAGCAACAAGGAGCACTTTGAAATGTAAGACACACTCCACCACCTGTGAAATCTCCTGAAAACTGTAAGTCTTCCTTCAAGTGAAAGCAAGCAGAACAGGATGAATGAATTAGTGAATTAATTTCTAACAAACTAATCTTCTCCTCATAGTAAGAAAGTCACAGATGTGGGGTGCCTCCTGTGTCCTGTAATGGCACAGGGCAGCCTCTTTGACTTTTCAGAGCTATGGCTTCTGTCACCATAACCTCTGCTCTGAGGTCTCTCTTACTGTGCTCTGATAATGAAAGTCACCCACACCAGAAAGGCATTATGTTTGTTTGGGCTTTTGCGTTTGTTTGTTTGTTTTTAATGCCTTTACAATGCTTTGAAAAAAGAATCAGGAGAATGACTGGTCTCATACAACTAGCTCACTACCCTGGGTCACACACCTGAAGTCAGTCTAGTCTGGTTCTCACTGGACTATCTGAAATTCCCAGAGTATAAGGTGTTGAGAGAGAGATTATGGTTTGTTTGGGTTTTTTTCCTTTCTTCCCCATTTATCTTTTGATTCGTTACAGAGCCAGAAGGCTTTGACTGAACCGGGCAGGACTTGTTCATAGTCAGAGAACAGAGCAGAACATGAATTATATATTTAAAATTTCTTAAACTGTATTTAACTCTATGACCAGAAGTCTGTTTATTCTCAGAAAGATCAGTCATGAATATCAAGTATTGCTCAGAATCAGAAGCTGGAGAGCCACTGCTGGACTCCTGTGTTCATTGCAATGCCACACTAAGACTTACTGAAGGACCTTGGGCACCAGGCAAACCAACGTCTCCTTTTTCACCTTTCATGCCATTGGCTCCCTAAAAATCATTACAAAACAGCATTTATAAACAGCTTTAATCTTACTAGCAACCAATCTAGAAATGATAACATTTATTGGCAAATAATTATCTTTTTAAAAAAGAATAACACAGCACACATGTAAAGGAAATCCTTTAAAAATTCTGGCAGTACTTTAAAAATAATTTTAAACTAATATAAACATATGCTTTTATATCAATAGCTATCATATGTGGCATGATATTTATGACAATTCCTTAAACTGGCATTCCATTAATGATATTGTACTATGGATACAATTTTGAAATTGTTTCTATTTTTGCTGAGAAATTTCATGTGTATGTATATAAATCTATACATACATATATATACACACAAAATAGAAGAATGCATCCCATAAATATTCATGCATTTTTTCTCTCTCCTCAATCTAAGTCACCTAAAATTTCCATTCTAATCATAGCTCCTTTCTCCTTGTCCAAATTGTCCTATATATTACAAGAGAGGTATAACTTTGGTCAGCCTGCCAACTAATCTTTCTTCCTGACATAGTAATTTTGTTTCACTGTAAGTGGAATGAAAAGTTCTGACAATCTTACACCTCCTCCTAGATTTGCTGTGAAACAATCTCAGAGTTTTCTCCCCAGTGCTTTCTGTCCCATTTGTAATTTATCAGCACTGCTGGAAATTCCTGATAATGGAAGAGAGAAAAAAATAAGATACTTTTTGCTAAAATTAATTAATTAACTTTTCATACTCACTGGTAGGCCAGGCAGTCCAATTCCTCCCTTTTCTCCGGGCATTCCAGGATCACCTGTGTCTCCTTTTGAGCCCTTAGGACCCTAAAATATGGACTTATTCAGCAAGTCAAGTAAAAAACTAGAGACCTCAACAGAATTCTAGCTTTGATCCTAACAAGGAGAGTCATGTGCATGTTATATCTTTGCTAGTAGAATGCAGAAATGCAGACACTATTAGGCCACGAAGTATGCAGCAGCACTATAATGATCTTTATTAATCATTATAATCATAATACTTAGATTATGAAAACTAAGTTACAACCTGGAACCACGGAAATAATCTCTTAAAACAGCCTATAGTTGCCCACATGTTCTTCACTATATGATTTACACAAAATGTACCTGCTCTCCATCAACTCCTGGAGCTCCTGGGGATCCTGGTTCACCCTGCAAGAGATAAGACAGAACTGGATTATCCCAACTGCCCCAGACACTAGAGGAAAGAGCCAGAGAAATTCCCATAATTAACAACAACAAAGCTAGAGAATATTCTGTCAAAAGCATATATTTATTATCTATATTAAATAAACAGCCCACCTGATTATGACTATATACAAACTTTCCGTGGTATAAAGGCCAGACAAAGTGCAAAAAAGAAAAGAAAAAGAAGTCAAAATCCAAGGAGTGAAAGGACTGCAATCCAATGGAAACTCTGCCTGCTACCAGAATAAATACAGACTCGTGCCTCCCGATTTATGGAAGGTAGAGAGAGACTTCACGTTGCTTTTCCCTATTAGAAATCACCCAGTGAAGGAGCTCACATTTATCACATTGTCTTATGACCAGTTCCTGGGTACCATTCTCCAAGGGAGCAAGTTATGGTGATGGATGGAGTCAATGACATTAGAAACAAGCTCCTGTGATGCTGAATTCTGCTTTACATTGTAGATTTTGAATGAGAACACTCACCTATAAAAAAGGAACACAACTTCTTCCACACTCCAGCTTCTCTGTTTTACTACATACTCCATGTTGCAGAATTGCTGGGCAGATGATAATGCAAAAAGCAATTTCTGCACACTCAACTGTATACTCTACTATCAATTTTCACACAGAATGAACCTTGTTTCTCACAATTTCTCAAAACAACGTACATGTGTATTGTGATGTATTTCCATATGAAATACTGGATAAAGTCTAAAATTGACATGTCTAGTATTGTTATTGAAAATGCACATGTTTGCTCTTGAAATAGCATAGAGACACTGGGAGAAGATGCAGTATCTAGTATTTAAGAAATAGGAGAAACATCTCAACTAGTTTAAAAGCATTTAGGAGAGTCCACAGACTTCAACATTTCTTCTTTGAGTATAGGGAAATTTATTATTTAAATTTTATAGAAGAGTGCAGCATATGGTACTCATTGTCTCTGTGTGGGCTGCTCACTAACCCTTCTGTACTGCTTCTAAGCACCAGCCAGGTGGAATTGGCAGGCTTGGGTTTCCAGCCAGGCTCCTGCCCACATGTGCACACTGTAATTTTTACTGACATTAGACAATACTGCACTTATTTGGGTGGGTGCCCCGTGACAGAAAAGCTGCATTCACATGCACTCACATGGTGGCCAGTGGTCTGGCACACAGTTTTGCCCTCCTCACTCCCACTCAGCCAGAAGTGAGGCATGGGAGCCACTGCCTGGTTGTGTGGCTGTTTTGCAAAGCCCTTGGGAGGAACCTCAGTGCCAGTCCCTGAGTGAGATGCTTCTACACTCTTTCAGTACTAATTAATTTTGCTGGTCCTTAGTTAGTCATCTCTGTGTGGCAACTAAACAAGGCAGCTATTCTGGAAAGCTACATCTCAAGAATCTGGGATATGAAGTTGGAAACATGCCATATTTGTTAGGTTTACAGTTAAACAACTGTGCTGGAAAACTCCATCTACCTGTACACATACATCATTTAAAAAAGCCCAGAAAATACTCCACCCTTAGGATATAATGAGTAAAGTAAGGAAGATCACCTTTGACCCTTGCAGCCCTTGGGGTCCTGGTGGTCCTGGTGGTCCCTAAACAGAAACACACAAACTTCTCAGCTTTTAAATAAACTCCTGAAGAACATGTCATGTAAGCACAGGGTGAATGTTAATACAGCTACTGTAACAAAATGGGTTAGATTTTTAACACAAAGGAAACCAAGACTAGTTATGAACAAGTTGTTAACCTATGACAGCTCTCAACAACCACAACACTACCACAAAAAACAGTGTTAAAATAACAGTAAAAAACTCATATTTTATAATAAAGTCCTCTGCTCCTATTGATGAAATGGCACTGCTTCCCCTAATGGAAGGGCGACCAAAACCCAGTCATATTTGCCAGCCCTCACTGCCCGATCCAAAACAATCTGAGACCACGAGAAATCCCCAACCAGTTGTAAAGAGGATTCTGCTGAAAGATGCTAAGTGCATCTAGGGATACTCAGTGCTTCATGAAATTTCCATGGAATAAACTGTAACCATTTCTTTCATTTCTACCTCAGGCTGTGGACACAGTGTCATGTATCAAACACTGGTCTGGATGGTGCATAGTGGGGATGCTTCAAAAAAAACCCACAACAACATTTAAAAATCCCCTGCATTAACACAAGAAAGGGTATGTCTAGTTGGGAAATTACGACTAACAGCTATCTTGCAGAGAAGAACTTGAAACAAAAAAGAATGTGCTTTCCCAGTCTCATACTTAAATGAACCGAAGTTCTGCCATTAATTCAGAAGGAGCAGAATTGTTGGCTTTCAACAATGGGTCCTCTGCTATGGGAACACCAAGCAAAGAAGTCCACACATGTTATGATGAACCAGGTTGACATCCAATGAAGACATGTCCAGAGCTAGCAGAATTATGAACATGCTGCAGCACAAAGAAGTTCTAGGGCGCACAGTAAGTCATGCAACAGTAATGAATTACCGTGACAGTCAGGGTGGCAATCCTCTGTTGGCAAAAGGTATTAACAAGAGTTGTCAGTAGCAGAATTAAACAATGACATAAATAATTCTGTTTCCTACAGTTGTAATCTCCACAGAACCTCTGCTGCACATGGTAGACACTATGCCTTCAAAAGCACCAATAAAACCCTTGTTATTTTTAAATCTTGATATTGTATTAGCTGTTTGGTTTCTGTGGGAATTAGATGAAGGCAGTACTTTTGTACAATGCAAGAGATCAAATAAACAATGACTAAATAGCAAAATCTAAGCAGAGTGCTTCAAAAAGGTAAGAAAACGTAATTGGTTGGTGTCTGTAGTTGACCAAAAGACTAGCCCTATGTTTTGTAATGTCTGTGGGATTTGCACCAACGTTTAACTAATAAACACAACTCCTGGAGTGGAGCTGTAACATCAATTTTCATATAAAAATGCAGTTCAAAATCCAAAACTGCCAGTCTACAACCCAGACATGTACACTTTTCTTATACAGTTCTACTTTGAATTCTTGGAAAGACAAAAGATATTTTCGTCATGGAAAGAGGCAAAATACCTTGACCTGTCACGGGGTTTTTTTTACCAAAAAATTTAAAAGCAAGTGGAAAAGTATTAAAATGGGATTTAAATGCTTGTCTATATTTTAAACAGAGTAGAACTCCCATATATTGCAGCTCACACATGCTTTCCTTTTGCATGTGAAGAACTTACTGGCCTACGTGGAACAAGAAATATCTTGCTTTTGTAATTATTATCCAATGTGCAAATAAAAGTTTGCAGATCTTCTGTTTTAAGCTGTAAAAAAATCTCCGCATGTCAGTGCAAAAATACATACTGTTGGCAAAGGTCTGGAACCTACTCAACACAAAGTACCCGAAAAAAGTTGTTTTCTAACACATGGCTTTAATATACTCATATTCTTTGTATTTCAACATATTAATGGAAATATATCCAGAACTTTAAAAATACTGAAAAGTTCAGGTATGAAAACCTAAAACAGCTATTGCAAAGAACTGTTTACATGTTCACAGTCACAGATCCCTTTACAGTGGCAGATATTTTAATATCTAATGCTGTAGTTCTACAGAGGTTAAACTTTTGAAACTACTGCTTTTTGCCCTGGGAAATTCTGCAGAATAGGTGTGAAGAGCAATTTTGACAGAGATGAATTTTGCATTTGATCCTCCAGGTGAAAGCCACATACTCTCAGCAGGGGTCTTGCTCAAACCAGAATGACAATTTTAAGATTGCACATGAGATTGAATAGGAGGCACAAGGCAAAGTAACTAAATTGCTAGATTGCTTCATAATTTATTACTGAATTCTAGCAAGAGACAAGCAGTCCGTATCTTGCAAATTCTTGTCAACTTCTTAAATCTGCAGGCCAAATTCTGTGCAAGTTCACAGTTCAGTGCTGAGCACTGAAGTTCTCATGTGCTTTTGTGAGAGAACTGCAAATCTCAGAGCCCCTAAGAATGTGGCACCAGGAGACTTAGGAATGGGTGTTTGCCATCTGAAAGGACTGAGCTGGATTTGGCAAGGATATTTTTGACTGATCCTATATAATCTTGCTTACACCCTCCTTGCACAGCCATTCCCATTAATATCAATCATTTGTTGCCCTGGATCAGAAGGTGATGACATTTGGAACGATTTGCAATGGGATAAAGGCTTTCTAGAATGTTTCAACCACTGCAGAAGGCTTTAGTCCACTTTTAAGGTTGCTTTATGTGCTGCAGCTTTTCTGAGGAAGCTTGAAACTAACACTGATGCCAGACTTACAATACCAAGACAGAATATAGGAGATACAGGGGCTAAAGCCCCTGCTAAATCTCTGTCTGGTAACACACAACATGAATTTCAGGCTACTTTAGGCACGTAACTCAGAGAGGGATTTAGATGACTGAAAGCTGCGTGTCTGAAGTCCCTTACAAGCAGACCAAATGAGGCAAACATAATGCAGAGCCTCACAACATGTCTATGCAGACCTCCCCACAGACACAATGAAAGAACAGACTCAGCCTTAGTGACATACAAGGCTTTTAGATTTTAGTAAAGGCAGTGAGGTTTTTTTATTTTTTGAAAGCATCTTGGAAACCAAATGACTGGTCAGACATTTACCCACTCCCACTGCATAAATGTAAGAAAAAAGTTCAGTGGCTTCAGTGAGAAAGTGATCGGATGCACAATGAGCCAAATCTAGTCTTCAGTTTCACATAAGCAAGCCATTCTCTTTGGTGGAGTTATACTGCACAGAATTTGCATCTGAGTATGCTGCAATGTAAATCACCTTGACTGCAATGACATATGTCATCTTGGTCCTTTGCTTTTATGCAAACACTCATTCATTCTTTTTGTAACCCCACTTTAATCCTCCACACTTTTCTGCACACCAGTCAAAATAGGTTTTCCAGAAATGAATAAGTGAGAAGACTGGTGCTTGGTCTACTTAATGTACTCAAGTTGCTGATTGAATCCACAGCTTGCTAATGGAACCATGTTACAATGGTTTCCAAATCTCAAATATTCTGCTCTTTGCATTTTACAGGAAGAGGAGGGGGGGAAAGAAAAAAAAGAAATGCCAATATTATAGTATATGAATTGAAAAGCAGACACTTCTGTTGAACCTGTGTATGTGGTTTATTACATTAATTCAGCATTAAACACCAAAGCCAACAATGAATTAGTTTCATCCTGATTAGGTGATGTCAGTACTCTCCAGGGAACATGAAACTAATTCAGTCAGCTAGTTTGTATCAGGGAAACAGTTTTTCTAGCACAGAAAACCTGGCTTCCAAATATAGAAAGTGATACCTGATTAATAAGCTCAACAATTTGCACACAAAATGTTTTCAAGCTCTAGGCAAAAGAGAAATACAATGCTGTTAAATGACTTTTCCCCAGACTGGACAAAGCGAATTCAGCCTTGTTAGGTTTGCATACCTGCAGAGCTTCATGGATATTGCCATTATAATCAATTATCTCTGTTGCACCTTGATCACCCTTCTGTCCAGGTGGTCCCTGTAATACATTTTCCATTAGAATTTTGAGACAACTGCTGAAGACTATTTTAGACTCTTAACTACTGACACATGCTTTGACTTGATTGTGGGATGTTAGACTCTAACTGTACTTGCAATATACTGCTACAAAACACAGAATTTGAAGGAAAACAATTTTTTTTAAATAAAGATAAATAAGCAAGTCAGTACAAAGTGACTTGTGCTGCAGTGGAAAGGAAATACATAAAACCTCTGAGGGAAGACATTTAAGGATGTTCCCACATTCTAGTTCTGTATTGGCAGTGAACAATGTCAGAATGGTTTGTAACATCCTGCCCACAAAGTGTGGATTGCAGACTGCTCCAAATAGTGGCAAGTGGTGTTATTCATATTAATGTCCAGTTAGCAACCATATTCCAACAGTGTCAAGTGACCAATTTCACCCAGAGTTCTAACTAGAATTACTGCTACAATTTCAGATCACACAGACTGAATCTAAGGGTACAAAACAAAGAGCTGAGATGAGATATAGACTTACCCGTGGACCTGCAGATCCTGTGTCACCTCTCTCACCTGTATCACCCTATGTAAAAATGATACATGAAAAAAAAAAAAATATGCCATTTGACAATATATTACAGAGTTCTTTCCTTTTTAATATGTTTTCTTACATGAACTGGTTTACAGGGCCTCTCATCCTAAACAGAATGTGAATCTTATTTAATAAAAGGAAAAAGTCCTTCAAAATCTGCGTACTGGTAGAATCGAGCATGATGCATTTGGTTCTGTGTGAATATTAAGAGTATTGTATTGGTCTGCAATAAAAAATTGCAAAGAACCAAAAGCAGATTATTTGTGCAACATTCCCATTCTTAATGACATTACTATCAAAAGCTTGAAGAGAATACTGGAGAAATGAAATTACTCAGTCTGAAACCAGTCAAAAACTTCTTCAAATGTGTTTCAAAATATATAAACTTTTCTTTCTGTGATCATGCCTCCACCAACCTTCTGAACTTCCCTGGTCTGTGTCACTGCCTCCCCTACAAACACAACTGTACTATCAGATTTAGAGTTTCTTGATGCCCTTTCTGTGACAGGCTTAAGATCATTACCAGCTTACACACAGCTTTTTACTCCTGGCTATTAGTAATATGCTTCAAATGATGGAGGGAATTTCAAACATGTATGCATTCATACCCCAGCTGCCACAATTCATTTCACAGTCACTTTCATACCAAGGTCTTATATTTTAATATTACTCAAAATTAATATGGGTAAGAACTGCAAATTTTGGTCCTGTTGACATCTAGAGAACTTTGGTAGAAGTCAGGAGAAGAATGATTAATTCACCACTGGTAACAGAACATTTGAACTGCTAAAAAATGAAGTTCCCTGCCACTAGACTGACTTCTGTGGGCCAGATTTTCATGACAGGTGTGCAGGTAAAATGAAAATCATATATCCTTTCTTGATAAAAAGGGAATTAAAGGGGATATCTTTATAATTTTGGTGCGTGTGGGAGGTGCCCAGGTACTGTAGTCAAATGAGAGGCTGATTTACTTTTCTGCTCTCACTCTGATACTTTAATTCCCTCATCAGTTCCCTTGCCTTCGAACACTTCTTTCTGGTGGGAATGAATGAAGTTAAATGGCACTTGTTTAATCACATCTTTAAGCACTTAAGGCCCCTCTTCAAGGACCTTACAAGTACTGCAAACAGTATCACACCAGCCTACATTGTCCTGTCACCCTTATTCTGACAGCAGACCTGTCAATAACCACCTACACAAGTACATTTTCATCTCTCATACAACATGAAGGAATCCAGTGGGAACAGTATTTGCACAGCAGATAAAGTAATAGAAAACCCATACGTTTTATCTCTCCATATATGTGAACCTGCTATATCTATAGAAAGATAAATGGGTGGAAAGATATAATCAAAACCATCTTTTTAAAGCAGGTAAAACAGCAACACAATCAACAACTCTTGCCTTTGTCAGACTTCTGACCATCATATCCCAGCCTGCAGTACTTGCAATACCTCTGATTCCTAGCTCATCAGACTTTGGATCCATAAAACTATTGCAAACTAAATAACAGCACAGTCAGGCATTGGGACTTGGCATGTGGGAGGACTAACACACATCAGTTACACAGAGAGAAACCAAGTTGCATGAGGAAAACAGCAGCAGAGTGGAATGCATGTTATAACAGAAAAAGGATTAGAATCACAATGTTCAAAACCCATGTGACATAACTAAATTTTTTATCTAAAATTGAAGGTCAGAAGGTTTCACTTATAAAGAACACTGCAGACTATTACAGGTTCTTTTAAAGAGAAATGTTACAAATAATTGATCCTAAAAATGTTAATTAGTCCCCTAAAGACAGTTTCCTTACTACTAACCTTTGACCCTTTGGGCCCTCTAGATCCAGGTTCACCTGTTTTACCCTGTTTGAAGGAAGATAGGAGAAAAATGGTAGAGAAATGGGAGTGCAGAGAAAAAGAAATTAGTAATCACTAACCACAGTTTGGAACAGCAGAAATACCTTATATTTATATTACCAAGATAATGAATTTTTAAGGCATTTATTTTAATAGCACCCAGATCAATATATTCTTTAACACTAGAGTGCAATGGTCACAGATTCCACTCTTCCAAAGGAAAAGTAGCATTGGTATTAGTAAAGATAGGCATCATTATCACTGGTTTCCAGGAATGAGCTATGTCATTCCATTGCTCCTGAAAAATGATAGCCAAGAGATAGAGAAGATAGTTAAATATTCTAACAGAAGGAGAATAAAATAAAGTGTTATCATAACTTTTTTTCCTAACAGTTCAGGTGAATACAAACTAACTGGCCAAGGATCACAAAATTAACCTTATTGTTTTCAAAATCCATCAGGAAAGAAAAACTTGACAGTGTCAACACCAGGGGAAATATTAAGACAATGCTAAAAGTAGTTAGACTGATCTCTTTCTTAGAGAGTTAGAAAACAGCATGCAAAATGGATTTTCTCTGCATTCAGTTGCTACAGTGGTCAAAGAGTTCAAACTTCAATGCTGAAAGTTAGGGACCTAGAGGTCAGTACTTCAGCTGGAATGAATTAGGCCAATTCCATGACAGTGTCGGTAGGTAGTGTCTTTACTTTGCAGACCAAATAAAAGTCCATTCAGACTGCAGTTTCACAGCTGTGAACACAAAACTGCCATTGAAGTAGAGCATTTGACAGCATTTTCATTTAAAAGTTCACTCACCAAGTTTTGTTCTACTTTTCAGCAGGCAAAGATGTGTTCATAGGTGCAAAACTAACAAAACATTTCCAATGTAAAAATCAGACTGACCTTTGGTCCAGGGATTCCAGGTTCACCTCGCTCACCCTTCCCAACAGGGCCTGCCTCTCCTCTGTCACCCTATTGCAACAGACACACAAATATCACAAAATACTGGGCAGCCTTTAGCACACCACCAACTCAGCAGGATCAAAGAAACCAAGCAAACAGCAGAAACAGTGGTTTAGTCTATCTGTATTTTCAGAATCTGGTGCGTAGTATCAAAATTCTGCTTCCTGCACAAAGTTTCAAGTAATCTTCCTAAAAAAACCCATGTTTATGAAAATATAGTTTCTTCAATCATGCCTATTTTGCCTCTTGAAGAACTAAATATGGGGATTCTAACATGAAAAAAGATGACATTAATTAAAGTTATGACGTAAAATCTGCCTTCACATTCTTTGAGGGCACCTACATGAATATCTATATATCTATCTCATAGCACTGGTCCATGACTTTTCACATTTTCTCCAATAGTAGCCTCAGTCTCTGCTACTTGCTGAGGAAAGTTGAATTTGACATCAGCTCAAGGGGCTTCACACCAGAGCACTGCCCCATTACCCTTACCTTTGTTCCTGGTAGCCCTGGCAACCCAGGTTCTCCTTGTGGACCAATGAAACCTGGTTCACCCTTTAAAAACACAATATGAGAGGGTTACTTATTTAGCAGTACACAAGTATAATAACACGAGTTTATTTTGGGTGGTATTTTCCCCTGTACAGCTTACAGTTCTCCAGCTGTGATGCAACAGTTACACAGAAGTACTTTTTGTCATGAGTTACTTTCATCAGCACAAATTCCTGCAGCAAGCCACCACGCAGCAGATGAGATGCAAATGAAGCAGAAGGTGTCAAACATGGGGTTTATGAGGTTAAGGACTGTTAATATGCAACCTGATCTGTAATGCAACACATCAAACTTATCCAAGCAAGTCTGAAGGCAGGAGGAGAGATCTGAGTGTTCCTAAATTTGAAAAGGGATAGTTAAGTTCAGTGATGTGTTTTGAGGTGGTTTCCTACTGCAGCATGTGAATAGATGGGCAGGAGTGCTGTGTGACAAATAGGAGATGGCATTGTTGTGATATGTTGTGTCTCCTTTCAAGTCAGAAACTTGCAGTACCATGGTACCATCTCATTCTGACAGTAAAATACTTCAGTTCTCTGCACCCAGACAATTTATTGGTCTGTGAACATCTGGGAATGAGCCACAGCTCTCCTCATTCCCTCTCTGTTCTGCCTCCTTCCTTCCCATTCAATTGTACAAAGAGGACAGACAAATAGCAAGAATCAAGCAGAGTTGCAGCAGAAGCAGCACTGAGCAGAAGAGTAAGGCCATTATTTTGTTACCCATCTCCATCTCTGAAGAGAGACAATGCAAGATTAATAAGTCATATACTTTCCTTCACAAATTCCCCTGAATAAGCCTTCCTGCTATTTAATCTTGCATTTTTTTTCAGATATATTTGAACCAAGAAGATACATCCACAAGCTATTGCAAATTTTAAAATCAGTTATGTAACCCAATCAATATTTATTTAATTAGCCTTTTTGCAATATCCCTGAACTTAATGACTAAAAATTAGCCATCAAATGCCTCTTAAAATAGTTAAAAGACAGATAGAACATAATCCTGTAGTGATATCATTACTGACAATATACAGAGACAGTGAATTTGAGCTGTTGAATAATACTTCTCTTCATCTCTTCCCCTGGAGAGCAAATTGGGAAGTATTCTTCCACATTCATCTGTGCTCTCATCAGCAATCCATCATTAACAGCTCAAAGCCAAAGAAATCTTCCCTGTGGTTATATCAAGGATGACAGCAAGCTCCCAGAGACCCCCATTTAGCTTATAAAAAAATACAAGTAATAATGAGCTTTCTCACATGAAGTTCCAGCTGGCTGTGATTCAAAATATGGTAAAGAAATAAACTGAGACAAACATGTCACAGAGAAGCAAATGGGGTTTTCTTTTTGCTCTCGTAAGAAAAAAACCTCGGAGTTTATGTAAGTCTTTATATTAGTACACAGCAGCAAGAGTAACATAAGGTTGTCACTGCAGATGGAAGCATTTTAATTTCAGTAAATGAAGAACAATGCAGCTTCAATCATTTATTTTAGAATGAGAGGGTACTCAACAGCTCCGTGTTGTTTTAATACTGAATTTGCCCAGGCTAATTTTTTGGGCAGCTTATTATGACTTAAGGCAGAAAAAATATGCAGTGACTACATGATTCTTTTCAGTGGTAAGGCTTAGAAGTGTCACTCAAAGGTTGATGCAGTTTTTGAGTCAAGTTCTTTTCTTTGCTCAGGACTATACCAGTTGCACACTACAAGAAAATTTCTGGCCAAAGTCCAAGAAGCAGCCCCACCTTCCCCCAAAATCTCTAAAGAGAGATGCTTTGCAAAAGCTAGTGGAATTGATAATGGTATAAGTTGGCAGCTTAATTAGCATAAGTAGAATACAGGTCTTATATGGCACAGAGCTTTAAAATGTTTTGAAATGTGGAGTGGAAGAAGTGGTGTGTCAGCAGAGAGAAAGAAGGAACTGACTGGGTGAGCAGCAGCCCTGCTGGGAAAGATGCAGCAGTTACGGGGGATGCCAAGCTGAACGTGATCCAACAGGGTATTCTTATCACACATGAAACAAACTGCATAGTTAAAACCTGGCTACATAAAGAAAAACATGCAATTCCCCCTCTATCCAGTGCTAGAGAGGATAAGTAGATTAAAAACCAGATCTGATTTGCCATCTGAACTAAGCTTCTAAGTAAAAAGACAACGTGTTTGAATGGTTTGAAACTAAGCCATGTCTTCTCTAATATTTCAAATCTCTTGAGTGTCTTTCTTATGCCACAGCATAAGGCATTAAGTAAAATGTTCATCGGTATACTTCAGTATACTGCCACAGAATTGATGATTTTGTGCTTTATGCTATCTTTTATGCCACTCAAATAGCAAAAAACCAACCAAACAAAAAATGGACCTATCAAAATTGGGACTGCGAGTGATGCGTGAAATGTAAAGAAAAGTTTCCTCTCAGTAAAGCATGCTGGTGTCCCAGTTATGCAAAGGCAAGGGAAAGACCTTTGTGATTAGTCCATGACACAAAAAAGATTCCAGAGCTGTACAGGAATGTGGTCAGAAAATTAAGAATTAAAGGCTTTAGCGTTTTTTTGCAAATATATGACATATTTGATTTAGCTAGCACATAGCAGCAGGAAAGCAAGGGTAAAGGCTGGCTTGGGAGGGCACTGTGGTTTGACAACACTGCAGCTCTGGTGTTCACTGAAGCACCTCCTGTTCATAAGTCTCTTCTTTAAATGAACTCAGTATTTGTTCTAGCTGCTGTGAAAGGCTGAGAGGAACGCAAGGGATCAGAGTCACCAAGACTTGTAATACTTTTCCAAACATCTCACTACAACTTGTTATAATAAAATCAAGGTTTTATCCAGTTAGAATGTACAGCAATCTTCTTTGCCTGCTAAAGCTGGGACAGGCAACACAAAATCTGTGATACTGTAATCTGAAGTACAGTTTGGCAGCTGTATAGAAAGCCATCAGCAAATAATGGCTCTGTCACACATTTTAGTTTTTAGTTAAACCCTTTGGTATAGTTATGAAATCACTGCTTAGAAACCACCACATTGCACAAGATGTCAGCAAGGCATATTTCAGCATTCAGACTTCATCCACCGTTAGACTTGGAGCAATTTGTATTAATCACAACATGGGAAACTTGGTTAAAAAAGAAAACAAACAACAAGCTTGTGAATTTCTTCCAGTCTACAGAAGTGACATGCTATGATATGAAGAATAATTTTTAGTGTCTTTATGTGTTAATATTTTAACAGACTACCCCCATGCATGCTCATTTTCATTCTCAAGTATTTGCTGACTTTGGAAATACTAGAGGGTCAGATAACAAATTATATACTACCATTTACAAATATTGTTAATGTTCATTTTCTGCTCTTATAACAGTCTGAAGCAGAAAAGGGCCCTAAAATGCCATAAACCTGGTGCAATGTGAGCGCAATCAGAATTTAATATTAAAAAGTCACCTTGTTATTTACTTCAGAGGATAGTCAGATTTTTATGAGGGTTATTATCTAGACATAATTAGAACTGGTTTTCATGATGATCAAAGCTTTCATGGGCTGAAGCAGAGGCTAGCTTTGATACTAGAGGTTAACCCTAAGAACTACTTTAGTTCACTCTCACTGTTAAGTTTTACAGAACCCATGATTGCCTAAAACTTGGACTTTTGCTTAAAAAAGGTACAGCAGTTGAAATAACGTTTTCACTGCTGGTTTCTGTTTTAAACATCACTAATTTGACAAATGTTTATTAACAGTGTAGTTCTACTACCATATTTGGTCAGAATTAGCCTCCATTGCACAGCTGGGACACACATCACCATCATTATTTGAAACTTTGTTCTCACAGACACACCTATTCCTCTCCCAGTGCCTGAAATACAAAGCTTTATGCTGATGCAAGCAATCAGGAGAGAACAGCAGTTGTTGGGTACACTGTTTTCCCACAGAAGTTTCTTCCTCCTTTAATCACTTTCCTAATGACTATACAACACATTTTCACATCCAGATCAATGAATTCCTAAAAAAGAAACCTATGCTGCAGGAAGACATCCAAACCACAACTTTCCTCTAACAATGAAATAAATTCTCTTCGATTTCTGAAATTACCATCCTACTTGTAAGTGCCATGGTTACCCTTACTATATTCCAGCTACATCAGATTATTACTGTATTTTCTCTATGCTACAGGAATGTGACTAAACCAACCCTTAGACCATGAATTTGAAAGGAGAATGTAATTTCAAGCCTTATTTTTATCTAGTGCTATGCACTAGAACTAGCCAGAGAAATTGAAATGTCTTACTCTGACTGACCTTTATTACATTGTTCACTGGTCCTAAATTACTTTGTTCAATGTTGGTCCCATTGCCAGCACCATGGAAGTTCTGTGCCTCCTGGGCTGACTGGCAGGTCCTGCCAAGAGGCAGGACACACACAAACACCTTTCCCTGGCATTCTCTTGGAAATCCAAACGTACCAAGGTCAAGACTCCTGTGTGCACACCTCTGAGTTGGCAAACCACGCCAAAGCATCCTGAATTTCTGTGGAGGACTCCAGAAAGGGAGATGCACCCCACCTTTTCCATTAACAGAAAACCTAGCAGTGTAGGCTGGAGGAAAACCACAATCATGCTTGAACACACAGCTTTGGGCAGGCTTGGAGATTCCAAACTCCTCTCTGCAAGTCTAGTGGACCTCTAGAATTCCTGTCTAGCATGGGCCAGCATTCAAATTCTTCAAGAGTCACAAAATTTGGGGGACCCAAAGTTCCTTTCTGATGTGGAAGGGTCCTCATTTTAATAACATCAAGAGACCAGTGACTGTCTTCAGTGTTACCCTGGCTCACTGATGAGCATATTTAAAACAAAAACAGTATGATACCCTTTCCTTGCCTAACACTACCAAAAGAATCCTGCAAAGGTGGGGATATCTATTTATAGAAGAGCTATCAAAAAAGACCCAGAAACCAGATGCAAGATAATTTGAAGAACAGCTATGAAGCTGTAATAAATTGGATTTGGTTCATGGCT